GATCTACTTATGAAAATCAGCCAATGAAAACCCTATGGACTGGAAATAAGGTCTGGTGATCTACTTATGAAAATCAGCCAATGAAAACCCTATGGGTCACAGTGGTTGATCCACAACCGATTTCAGTTCAAACAGGTTTTCAGGGGTCACCCCGAGTCAGACACTTTCTCAGCAACAGCTTAAATTAACAACAATAAATGCTCTATCATACAGAGCAGGAGATGGAATGAAATGGCTGTATATGAAGTAAAGCTTTGGTCATGGGTTTTTGGAATCCCAGGGGTAAGTTAAGCTGCCTTTGCATTTGCCAGAGAAGGCTTCTACCTGGGGGTCTAACGCCCAGGAGGTAGCACGTCCAGATGTCCTCCTTGGGGATGTCCCTGATGTTAAACTGGACCTTGTTTTCTGTTCTTTGCCAATTCAGGTTCCCATGCCCTCATATAGCATGCAGAGCCGTAGGCCTGAAGATACTTTTATTTTTAAATCTGAATCACTTTCTGGGATGCATTCTGAAATGGAAGGAAGCGATGGAGCATGTTTTCTGTAGCAAGGCAGGGATGGAACAACCTTCATTCTATTGCCCCAGGCCCAGTGTCCTCGAGAGACTAGCCTTTTAGGTTTTGAGATTTAAAATTGTTTTCTATGTTATAAAATGTTCTGACCCAAACGGCCCCATAGTTCTGTATGTATTTATTTATTTCCTCTTGTTCTTTCTTCCTCTTTTTCCCCTTCCTTTCTCTTTCTCATAGTAGCCAAAGCAGTTTCTAATAAAAGCATAATAAGGTCATGGAGAAAAATAATAAAATTAATTAACTTAATGAAGGATAAATCCAGATATAAACAAAGGGGAAAACTCAGAAAACTCTAAATTGCTTCCCTTCCTGCTCTATGTTATAAAACAAGTAGCCATGAGGATGGCTTTGGAGTCAAGTTTATCTATACTCAAATGAGTTATCTGTCACTGAATAGCATTGCATACTTGGATACATTATATAAAATTGCTGAGGTTGTTCCTCAGGGCCTATAAAAGAAAGAACAGTATGCCTACTTTACTAAGTTCTCTGAGGATAAAGGCTGAAAAGAAGGTTGGCATTTGGCACACAGCGTGTGCTTAGTAAAAATCATTTCTTTGTTCTCAAATTAGAGGTTCATGTGGGACTTGCTTCTCGCAACCCAAAGCAGCAGCAGTTATCTATAGTAACTGGAAGTATGAAAAACTTTTTTTTTAAATGAGTCTCATTGTTGGGAGTACCTAGAAGCAATTAAACACATTAACTCACCGAGAAGACAAACTACGCAATACCTTTAATACACAATCTTTGTTACATTTGAGCCCGTTGCTGTTGCCTCTTTTTTTCTGACACTCCATGACTTAACCAAGCACGCGGTCTTAATCCAGGGTCTGGTCCCTCCTGATAACATATCAGAAGTACAAGAGACTACGTCTAGCCACTCTGGCTTCTAAGGAGCATTCTGGCTGTACCTCTTCCAACACAGATTTGTTTGCTCTTCTGGCACATGGTAGGTGCTCATTAAATATTTACTCAAATGAACTTTTGAGTGTTTCCCAAAGCCAAAACTCTATCAAAGTGTATCTACTGCTGAAATTATTAAACAAAAAGAAGTGCTCTGAATGTTCAGGGCAATTCCAAAACATGATCTAAGGAGGATTCTGAGGGTTGAGCTAATTGTGTAGTATCCCAAGGTTACTATTTTGAAATAAATAATGCAAACTTCATGTAGCAACCTGTCTTGATGAGGAAATCACTAATAATAGACATATCTGGGCTTTTGCTTCTTTTTCTGTGAAATGAGTCAATTGTGCCATTCAGTTCATCAAACTTGATTCATCATAACTCAATTCAATGGGAACCTGCTCTCTGGGTCCCTAGACTTGATTTTTGGAATGTTATGGCTCCAGTTTTGATTTATTCCTCCAGATAGGCACTAGTGTGTGAGTTCTCTCCTTTGTGGTCCTTCTCCTCCAGGCTCCAATAGAATTTTGCTCATACCCTTCTCCCTTACCTGTTTACTTTTCTACCCCTTATTTCTTGAAAGTCAAGTCACTCTATAGTTTCAAGGACTAATCTACCTTTGCAACTCTCTTGCTCATTAACTCTCAGGCCTCAGTTAAACAGAACAACTTTGTTGCCCTGTTTCCACATCAGCAATTGGAGGGCAGGATGGCCAAATTTCCTCTCTCATACTTTGGATATATTGTCAGGAGGGACCAGTTGCTGGAAAAGAATGTCATGTTTGGTAGGGTAGAGGGTCAGAGAAAAAGAGGAAGACCCCCAATGAGATGGACTGGCAGAGTGGCAGCATCAATGGGCTCAAGCATGGCAACAATTGTGAGGTTGGCCCAGGACTGGGCAGTGTTTTGTTCTGTTGTGCACAGGGTCACTATGAGTTGGTACTGACTCGATGGCACCTAACAACAACAACCTCTGAAGGAAGCTGGATAGTATCTGCCTCCTTAGGGAGAGTTGGGTCATGTATTCCTCAGTTTGCTTTGAACTAGTTTCATCACTTTTCTTAATTGTCTTATTTGACCTCTAACCAACTTTCTTTTTTCTCTAGATTACATCAGAGACTAAGATGAAAGGCTACGGTGTGTGAACCATCTAACATGCGATAGCCACAAAGGATTATGAATGTCCTTCTCAGCTCCAACCACACAATTGGTTAGACTCAGTGTTGGGATTGCAACAATGATCTAACACCTAGGACTCTTTCTGTTCTACTATTTTTGTCCATCTTGAAGGCAATGATTGGTCAATATCGTTAAGGGTGATGGTATCGGGTCCAACATCTTCAGAACGAGTGTAAGATAAAAATCACAGGCTGGGGACCTACTGGAATTTGGATGAGCTCTTACCTCCTACGTAGAGTGGGGAGTCAAGATTCAGAGTGGACTGTTTTGACAGGTTGGTGATGATCTTGGGGCTCCCTCCATCCACGGAGAGGGAGAGACTCTGATCCAGGGCAAGCAGTTCCACAATATGGAAGTTTCCATCATTGATCGTCTCCACACTGCAAAGTAAAAACAGCTCAGCTGATCCTCAGATTTTCTTTTTATTAAAGACAAGGGGTGCTGATACAAACTCCTATAAGCAGTCCATGGGGAAAAGATGCTCCGATATTGTCAGGAGGGACCAGTCGCTGGAGAAGGATATCATGTTTGGTAAGGTGGAAGGTCAGAGAAAAAGAGGAAGACCCCCAACAAGATGGATTGGCCAAGTGGTAGCATCGATGGGCTCAAGTGTGGCAACAGTAGTGAGGTTGGCCCAGGATCGGGTAGTGTTTCATTCTGCTGTGCATAAGGTCGCTATGGGTCGGTACCAACTCAATGGCACCAAAAAAAACAACATATAATATTAATAAGGAGCTCTGATAGCATAGGGGTTATGAGTTGGGCTGCTAACCTCAAGGTCAGCAGTTTGAAACAACCAGCCATTCTATGAGAGAAAGATAAGGTTTTCTGTTCTTAAAAAGATTTACAGCCTTGGAAATCCTATACAGGGTCACCATGAGTCGGAACCAACTCCACGGCACATCACCACCACCACCATATAATATTAATGAAGATAAAGACTAGTAGTTGATTTTTTTATAAGATGTATTTAAAAGGAGTTATCGTCAGTTTGTTTTGGAGCTGGGTACAAATAAGTTAGTTCTCTTACTGGGAGAACTGTAAGTGAGTACATTTCCTCCTGATCTAGTCACATTCTCCCAATATGTAGAAATTACAAAGGATAATTTATGCCTTTGCTTTTAAAGGCCACTCTGGCAGCTTAGTGGTTACGAGTCGGGCTCCCAACCTCAGGGTCAGCAGTTCGAAACTACCAGTGGTTCCATGGGAGAAAGAAGAGACGTTCTGCTCCTGTAAAGATTTACAGCCTTGGAAACCCTGTGCAGGGTCACTCTGAGTCGGAACAGACTCCACAGCACATAACAACAACAATAAAGCTCCATTTACTCAGTTGCTGTCCATTACTCAAAATAGCATTAAAGAGATAAGTATGCCTATGCCAAATATACTCCAGAGACTCTTGATGCTATGACACTCTGATGCTTCCATCCTCTTGAGCACTGTACACTAAAACATCTCAAAATCAAGCCCACACATAAATATAACAACCATCCTGATAGAAGCTTTGAACTTTACGAAATTCATTCATAGATAAGATACTCTTGATTTTCTTCGGTATTTTCGTAGGGTCACTCCTTGGGAGAAAGATGAGGTTTTCTGCTACCATAAAGATTTACAGCCTTGGAAAACCTATATAGGGTCCCTATGACTCGGAACCGACTCCACAGCATACAATCCACCACCACCACCCATTCAATATCACTGTGAAGAGGGCTATGCTTAGAGATGAAGTGGAAATAGAATACTGTGTAAAATGTTTAATACAGTCATATTTGTAACTTTCAAGGGCCAGGTCTAAAACATATTATTTTAAAAGAGCTTTGAGATGGAATTATAGACATTCACTTGTAAGATGGATAAAAAACAAAAAAGATTGAGAAAATGGTGTAAACTGAAAAATGAGGATTGAGAAAATTAGGCAAATTTGGGATACAAAATAAATAACTGCCACAGGGTTTTAATATCCCACTTTATTGTTACAGAAGACAAAGATGAGAGCAGGGTCAATTCAAATACAAGGTGCGGTGTTGGCAGTTCACTCTCATTACAAAGGTCAAAGAATGTGTCACTATGGAAGTTGGCACCAGAGAGTAAATAAAAAAGATTCAAGGCTCTAACTTGCTGGGACACAGACAGGAAAGGTTAAGAAAGGTCTAAAATGGACACATGGCAGCATATGACAAAGAGATTATTCCTAAATATAGTGGCTCTACAGGATAAAGAAGGAGTCCTGGTGTGGCGCTGTGGGTAAATGCGCCAGAATGCAAAGCCGTTTGAACTGCAAGGTTGGTGGTTTAAGCTCATGAGTGTCTCCTTGTAAACCCTATACAGGGTCGCTATGGGTCAGAACCAACTCAACAGCACTTAACAACAACAACCACAGGATACTAAGAGCCTATGGTGGTACCATAAATTTACTTGATATGGATTTTCTATCCAAGTGACTGGGTGGGACCATGCAAATAAGGTGTACAGGACTCTATGGCTGGGATTGGTTCATTTTGCCCTCCAGCTAGGCTTAAAAGGAACCATCTCAAAGCAGAGAGGGAAGATCCCAGGACCATGAAGAAGGAAGAACGTGAGTGAAGCGTGAGATACAGCAACAGCAGAGGCAATAGCAGAGGCAGTGGCATGGAGAGATCGAGCAGTTTTGGGCTCTATACCCGCAGACTGAGTTAAGCTGAGTGCCTGTGGGCAGGAGACTGGCTTAAAGACTGTGCCCTTCGGACATTTCAGACTGGCTGAACGGGCTTTGTATCATGTGCTAGAGCAGGCTGATGTCAATGGACCTCACGGCTGAGAGGCAGAAGACCAGAACCAGAATGAGGCGTGCCTGCAGCGTGGCAGACAAGAGGTGTTCCTGAAGGGAGAACTGCTGTATCCTGAGTTGGCTTTGATCCTGAATTGCACCCTGTTCACTGCCCTAATAAACCCCATAATTATGAGCATTGTATGAGTTCTGTGTGGCCATTGCAATGGATTATAGAGCCCAGATGTGAAGCAGAGAGTGCTGTGGGAGGAATGGTTAGTGTCAGAATAGAGTAAACAAGGTTGTAGGGTGGAAGCATGACCTTTGCTTCATGGAAGCTGGCCTTGGGTTGGTTTTGAGTTTGTTTCTCTTTCTCCCTTGTGAAACCAGGAGACCCCAGACATGGTCTGCACATGGTTTAAACAGCTACAATCCACAAGTTTGGGGTTTGAGCCCACCAGCCACTCCTTGGGGGAAAGATGAAGTTTTCTGCTCCCTTAAAAATTTACAGCTTCAAAAATCCCATAACAGGGTCTCTATGAGTCAGAACTGATTCAATGGCACTTACCAGCTACAAGCAACAAATAGTTCCTATGGGGAATGTGGTGACTCTATACAAGAAGCACCAGACTTCAAACCACAAGGTTGGCAGTTCACGCCCACCAGCTGCACCATGGTAAATGATGAGGCTTTCTGCTCCTTCACAGATTTACAGCCTTGGAAACCCTACACAGGGCTGCTATGAATCAGAACTGATTTGATGGTGCTAAGCAACAACACAAAACAAATAAATGGGTCCAGTATGGAATTGACAGAAATACTGATAGAAATTTCTGTATGGTTCTCACCACCAGGGGCTAGTCATATTCCGTAGCTTCCTCACACAGACTGAAAAGTTTGTGTACTTTGTGGACACTATGAACCAGGCTACCAACCAAATGGTGAGAACATCTGACAGTTTTTTGGTTTCACTAGTGAGAAGTGCTTGCACTTTGATGGCTTGTCTCTGAAATAATTTTTTAAACAAAATAAATATAAGTAACGTAAATCAGCATGTTTACCTTCTGCACACTTAATTATTCCAACATTTAACACCATTAAAATCAGAGGTGGAGCTATGAAATCACTTCCTAAATAAAGCTGCAGAATTACTGTGGTTGTATGCCTTTGAGATGCTTCCGACTCACAGGGACCCTATACGGATTTCCAAGGCTGCAAATCTTCACAGGAGCAGGAAGCCTCATCTTTTTCCCAAAGCGTGGTTGGGGGACTTATCCTAAAGTGCCACAGGTGCCCCAGACTAACTGCTGTTGTTATTGTTGGTGTTACGTGTCACTGAGTCATTTCCAACTCATAGTGACCATGTATAAGGTTTCAGAGGAGTGACTGGTGGGTTTGAACTACCGACTTTGCAGTTACCAATACAGTGATTATCTACACCGGGATTTAAATATCACTGTCTCTGAGGTGGCATCTGTTGAGAATTAACATCAGCCAGCGGTTAAGTTGGACTTCTGGTATGGCGCTGTGGGTTAATGCACTGGACTGCAAGGTCAATTTGAACCGCAAGGTCGGCGGTTCAAGCTCACCAGGCACTCCTTGGAAACCCTATATAGGGTCGCTTTGGGTCAGAACCGATTTGAAGGCACTTAACAACAGCAACAACAGTGGTTAAGTATCAAGTCCTGGGGTGGCGCTGTGGGTTTATGTGCTAGGCTGCAAAGTCAGTTTGAACCGCAAGGTTGGTGTTTCAAGCTTACCAGCCACTCCTCAGAAACCCTATTCAAGGTCACTATGAGTTGGAACCAAGTCGATGGCACTCACTTAACAACAACGTATTGGTTAAGTATACAGATATTGCAGTCAGAGAAATCTAGATTTGAATCTTGGTCCTGCATTCACTGCATGTCTGAACTTAGACCAGCTACTTAATTATGAATACACTTTAGCTTTATCATCAGTAAAGGCTAATAAATATTACTCCCTCCTGTAATTATTTTGAGGTACAAATGAAACGACTTATGTAAAATGCATCACACAGCAACTAGCATATACAAAGCAGACATATAAATTAAACATTGGATATTAGCATCCCTACTACCACCATTTAGGAGTTCTTGTGGCATAATGGTTATGACTCAGGCTGCTAACTTCAAGATCAACAGTTTGAAACTATGAGCCCTTCTGAGGGAGAAAGATGATGCTTTCTGCTCCCGTAAAGATTTATAGCCTCGTCAACCCCATACAGGATTGCTCTGAGTTGGAACTGACTCCATGGCACACCATCACCACCATCAACACTGGGCTCCAAACCAAAAGGCCAGCAGTTCAAACCCATCAGCTGCTCCTCAGAAACCCTAGACAGGGTGGCTATGAGTCACAACAGACTGAACAGCACTTAACAACAACCATCATTATCATTACAAATAATCTAATGCTGCATCAAAATCAGTTAGAGGAATCAACTGAATCCAGCTAGATTTTCAAATATTAATCATTAGGCTTCGTCTCAAACTTTGGACACATTGTCCGAAGAGAACAGTCACTGGAGAAGGATGTCATGCTGGGTAAGGTGGAGGGTCAGAGAAAAAGAGGAAGACCCCCAACGAGATGGATCAGCCAGGTGACATC